CATGATCACTGGGTCTCCTGGTGCCCCTGCCCAGCCAGCATGCCCTAAACCCGTGTCACCGGGTCCTCTGAGGTGTGGATCTCAGCTCTGCTCCTCTCCTTGCCTCTGTGTCAGCCTGGCACAGCCTGGACAGAGAACACTACGGCCTCTAGCCACCGAGGCGCCCATGCCAGCATCAGACCCCGTCCACCCACCACACAGCCATTTTCAGAGCCCCTGGCTGACCAGTAGATAGGGTACCCCCCCACCCGTGCCCAGTGGGCATGTCCTGGCACCATGTAATACCTCCTGTTAGCTGAGGCTGGGCCCTTAGGCTTCCAACAGGCTCAGCTGTGTGTTGGGGCAGAAAGTATGGCCCTGGAGCAGAGCACCCAGGCGCACCCTTGGGCACCACTGTGAATTGGCCAATACTTAGCACCACCAAGCTTCGGTCCCTTCCTCTACACCCAGGCCAGTGCTCTACTTCCCTGGTAACCTGGGCTGTGTCAGTCTTTCTTGTGGTTGAGAATCCTGAGTCAACCAGAGTACTTCCCCAGACTCAGCAGCGTTGGCTGTTTCTTCTCTTGAAGAAAACATGATACTCGTACCCTGCCACACCAGCCTGTGCCCACTGTGCCCCTCTTACCCACCCACACCAGCCACCAGGAGCCGGCAGGCCCAGGCATGTTGTTCTCCTGCCTGTGAAGGCCCAGAGGTTGTATGTTGTCAGACCATGCACCATGTCCCACATCCTGGTACTTCTGCCTGACAGATGACATCCCGAAAAAGAAAATCGCCAGCATCTTCAGGCCCCCGTCCCCAGACATGCTCGCCTACCTGGACTTCAGTGTGTCCACCACGGGCATCCTCGCAGGCGTGAAGGTGGGTCTCCAGCTCTGGTTGCTGGGAGGTAAAGGCAGCTGCAGGAGTGTCCCTCACAGTCTGTGTTTAACATCGGTAGGCCCGGCGGGAGGTGAGCCTAACAGTAATACATGCACGCTCTACACCAGGGGTCCTCAAACTACAGCCCACGGGCCACGTGCGGCCCGCCGAGGACATTTATCCGGCCTGCTGGTTGTTTTTGCCCTGTTTGTTTTTTTACTTCAAAATAAGATATGTGCAGTGTGCGTAGGAATTTGTTCATAGTTTTTTTTAAACTATAGTCTGGCCATCTAACAGGTCTGAGGGACAGTGAACTGGCCCCCTGTTTAAAAAGTTTGAGGACCCCTGCTCTACGCTTTTGTTAGCTTCTAAAATTCCTCATTGAAGTCTGCTGGCCTCGAGGAGAGGGGTGGTTTGATGAGACCAGTTCCTGACTTGGGGCCAGGCACTCAGCTAAAACCCTTTCTGACCTTGGCCTCTGGTTTTGCAGATTTTGAGAAAGCCATGTCCTGCTTCGGGAAGAGGTAGTGCTAAGCTTAGGTGGGGATCTGAGCATTTATCACAGTCACAGCTAGCCGTGTGCTAAGCAGTCCACGTGCCGCGGGGTGTTTGCCTGGTTCCCGGTAGCGTTTGAGTGCTGCATCCAGCAGACCTTGTGTTGTCCTCAGATGTCACACGCTGCCACCAGCGCCCTGTGTCGCTCCATAAAGCTGCAGTGTGAGCTGTACCCCTCCCGCCAGATTGCCATCTGCCTCGATCCCTACTGTGGCCTGGGCTTCGCCCTGTGGTGCCTGTGCAGGTGGGTGCTGCTGTATATGTGGGAGCTTTGGTTGAGGTGGGCGGTGCCCTAGGGTGGGCCCCGCCTGTGGTGGCTAGGGAGGTAAGCATGTCCATGTGGGTCTACGCGTACCTGTGATGGTCTGTGCAGGTGGGCACTCCATGCAGGTGGGCTCTTGGTGGTGCATCGTGTGAGCAGAGGACGTTGACAATGCCTGTGTGTGTGTGTGTGGGTTGGTTTGCAGGCGTGGGTGTGACGCTGGGTGAACATCCAGGAAAGTACACAAAACTGTGTCCAGGAATAGTAACTGGGGAGAAATGCTTGCCCCTCACATATTCAGAATTGGCAGTGCATCTTGTACCAGGGTCCTCTTCACCCCCATGCAGTAAGCCCCCCACACTCTCAGGACATGGCTGGAGACTATGGGGAGCAGTGCAGGGCCAGTGCTCCCGTGTGCCTGTCAGCCCCCGTGTCTGTCTATTGCAGCGTTTACTCGGGTCACCAGTCCGTCCTGGTGCCCCCGCTGGAGCTGGAGAGCAACGTGTCGCTGTGGTTGTCGGCCGTCAGCCAGTACAAGGCCCGGGTGACTTTCTGCTCCTACTCGGTGATGGAGATGTGCACCAAGGGCCTGGGCACACAGACGGGTGCACTCAGGGTGAGCATGCTCCACGGGCGGGTGGCAAGGGGTGACAGGGTGACTGCACCTCTGCAGAGTGAAAGTCACAGGTTGACCACGCATGCCTGCATGGCCCTGGGGTGACCCTGTGCTGCCCGCTGTTGGGTCACGGGCAGAGGGCCCTGGGGGCCTGCGTATCCATAAGGCCATGCTCACCAGGTTATGGGCTGATGGGCACATAGGGGCTCATGGGGCGAGCGTGCCTCCCTGGGGGCTGGTGCCATGGGAGTGTCTTGGTGGCTTCATGCTTCCCAACACCATCTGACAGCTGCCCTACCCCAGATTCTTTGCCTTTCCCTTCGGGAGGGGGCTGGCTGCAGGGCCCACCCCATTGGCCACAGGCCAGGGCTGTGTGTGTGTGGAGGGGGTTAAATAGAAAGTGACTCCCAAGCCCTCCCCATGGCGTTGGTGGAAACAGGCGGAGTCCTGCTCCCATGCCAGTTCTGACCCTCTGGACCCCACTGTGTCTCTTTTCAGGACATGTTACACCCGTGTCCTCTGTGCAGCTTTCTTCGGTGTCATCCTCACCCGATCATGCAGGGGCCAGGCCGAGAAAGTGTAGGGAGAGCCATCCATGGGCAGCCGCAGGGACAGTCCTGGGCAGGGATCTATGGGCAGCAGATGTGGAGCTAGCTGGGTCAGGGGCAATGCAGTCAGTGGTACGGCTCTGCACAGTCATCTCAGGTGGAGGGAGGCAGACCATGGTGGAAAGTGGGGTTGGGTAGGTCCCAGCATGCATCGGAGGGCAGGATCCAAGGTGATCAGATCTGGATCCAGGGATCCAGAGGGCTCACTGAAGGAGGGTGCTGTGGATGAATGGCAGCAAGGGGTGTGTGTGGGAAGGCTGAGGGGGACGGCACACAGCACCAAGAGTCTATAGCTTGGAAGGTTGCAGGGTGTCACTGACTCTACCGTGGTTGCCCTCCTGATGACTCCTGGAAATGTGGCCTTTGTCCCCACTCTCTTGACCTGCAGGATGGCACACAGAAAGTCAGAGACCCCCCCCCCCGGCATCTCCCAACCAGTAGGTTTAGGGGTGCCTGAGGCCTGCAAAAGGAGGGCCAGGGAGAGCTCCCCTCTGGGCACACCACTAAGCCCCCCATGGCCCGTGGCGGAGCCAGGCAGTGTCAGGAGGCGTCTGCAGGAAGAGAGTAGAGGCAGGCCACAATGCAGTGGGCTGAGTTGTGCCAGCCTTCAGACTCCAGCAGGCCCCACGGGGCCCAGGAGAGGAGAGGGGCTGTGTGTCCAGCCTGGCCTTTGTGCCTGAGCAGTCCTGGGTCCAGTCGTGTGTGGGATCCCACGCAGAAGCTCTGGCTAGGCCCTCGGTGCTTCCCCCCATGTGCACCTGACTGCCACTTGTCCACAGATGCGGGGCGTGAACCTGTCCTGCGTGCGCACCTGCATGGTGGTGGCGGAGGAGCGGCCCCGTATCAGCCTGACACAGTCCTTCTCCAAGCTGTTCAAAGACCTGGGCCTGTCGGCGCGCGCCGTGAGCACCACCTTCGGGTGCAGGGTCAACGTGGCCATCTGCTTGCAGGTGAGGCTCTGCCCTTCTGTGGGTCCAGGGGCTGGGTGCTGGGGGATTTTCTGGTCACATGGTAAGAAATGTGCATCCTTACATCCTCCTCCCCCTGTCCCTCCCCCCTGCAGCTGTTGACGATACAGCTGCCGGTGGTATTTCCATTTTCAGAGCTTTTAAGGGTGAAGGCTTTATTGAAAAATCTGTTCTATGCTTACTTGTGAACAGAGTCTAATTTGGAGAGCCACCCTAAATGGTATTTGAACATTGACAGCTACTTGGCCTGTAAGAACCTCAAAGTAGTTTATGCTGTGCAGCTGGCATTGAAGAACAAGAGCAATCTAATTTACTATCTTATGCCCCTACATCAATTTTTGATAGCAACATCAATTATGTGACTTAAAAAATTTTTTTTTTAATTGCCCGGATTGATTTTTTAAGTCGCGAGGGCTATTTGACTTCCTGAGAGGAAGCAGCGTTTCAGAAACCGAGTAGCCAGACTCCGTGTGCTGTTGGTGATTCGGCGACCATCCAGATTTTATGCTGGCTTCTCCAGTGCCTTCCTCCTCAAGCATCAGAGAGCCAGGTGGTGGGCTAGACGCCTTACCACGCTGTGTGAGAGCCACCGGGAGGAGGGGCCTCGCCCCGGCAAGCGGAGCCCAGAGCAGCCGGCTCTCTTTGTTGGTTTCCAGGCCGCTTGACTAGCCGCATCCACTTCCTTAGAACCCCGCTGCCTGGGCCAGTTTGTGCCCAGCCAAGAGGCCATGCTGCCAGAGCAGTATCGTTCTGTGTCCCTGTCCAGAGGCCCTGTTCCTGCGCAGGGCCACAAGCGCTCCTTGTGCGGCAGGAGCTGAGGCGGAGCCTTTTCTCAAGTCCTCTACTGCCCCTTCCGTCCTGGGATGTGCCCAGTGCCCGCACCGAAGCCCACCTGCTTCTCCAGACAGTCCGGCTGGCTGGCAGGGAGCACCACGCGTGGGGCTCATGGAATGACACGCAGGGTTGCAAGAGCCTCGCTTGTTTGTTGTTTAAGATACAGTGATGCCTTCTGTTCTCTCTCACCGTGTTTCTCACGTTCCTGCTGCCTTCTGTCTGTGTCTCCTCGTGGCTGTCTCCTCTCTGTCCCCACTCTGCTGGCCTCCCTTACCTCTGTCAGCCCAACAGGCTGGGAAAGCTGGCTGAGCAGGTACGACCTCGTGTGTGTGCCCATGCCCCACACCTCCGCTCCAGGCGAACCAGAGCCGCGCTCATGGTCTGACTTTGCTTTCAGTGAATGTTAACGGACATGTCAGGACAGCCCCTTTGTAACTGAAATTGAGAGTACAGCTGTCTTCAAAGAAAAATCAACCTTCATGGCATTGTCTTGGGAGGATGGGCTGCGTCGCGTTGCAACACAGGAGTGTTGTTTCCGGAAGATGTAGTATAGGGTCTGGGGTTTCCCAAGAATGAAGTTGGTGTTTGTTTGATTGGATGGTTCTGAACTAATAAGATGGGCCACGGTGCCCTTTAGTCGAGTGGGATGAGCTCACAAGCAAGAAGGGAGAAATTGAGGTGGTTAGTCCTTACAGAACCAGGTTGGCTGGCTAGGAGCTGTCCGACCCTGCTGGCTGGTGGAAGCCTTCCCCAGAACCCAGTGAAGGTACTTGGCGGGGATAGGATGCTGCCAGAGTTGAAGTTTAAGTTCTCATGGCGGACATTTCACTCACAGTCACTGTGCACCTGCCCTGCTTGGGGCCCGTGCGCCCTTTGCGCAGAGCCCCGGGTCTCAGGACAAGCTGGCTGGTTCGGTCCTGGATGCAGAGGCTCTGAGAGAGGGCGGGTGGGCATGCCCTCAGCTGCTGCTTCCCTTGCAGGGCACAGCCGGCCCGGATCCAACAACAGTCTATGTGGACATGAGGGCACTGCGCCATGACAGGTGAGCTCCACCCCCAATGGACCTGCCCCCAGCAGGTGGCACACAGTGGGCGTGGTCTGTGTTGCCTGCGGCCTCCCAGGCCCCAGGGGCAGGGGGATGGGGAGCAGCGACCCTGAGCCTGACCAGAGGGGCTGCGGCACGGCAAGAAGGAGTGGAAGAGCTGGGGTCCTTAAGACCCCAGGCACATGCACACATACCCAGAGGGGCAGCGCTGGTGGAATCTTTGCCTGCAGTTTCCCCTGGGAAATGGCCCGCTGGGCACTTATGGGTTTGTCTGTGTAGTTGGTGCTATTTAGAGTCCCTCCCAGCCTTGGGACGCAGGTCCCCATGTTGGATCCTTACGTTGCCTCACTGCAGCCCAGTATAAACATGGAGGCTGGTGGGGTGGCAGCGTGTGGCCTGTTCTGCATAAGCCCTGGACACCACTGCCCACAACAGTCACACATTGACTGTTGATGCGCTGGCATCCTGGTCACTGTCATCACATGGACAGATGTTGTGATCATCAATTCTGGTCACCTCACGGTCTGTTTAGAAATCGCCATCTGTGTGGGCTGCTTATTCTGACCTTTCCCCTTGTTAATTCCAGGGTGCGTTTGGTAGAACGGGGCTCTCCACACAGCCTGCCGTTGATGGAGTCTGGAAAGGTAGGGGAAGCTCAGGCCTACTGCACAGTGTCTGAGTCATCGGCTGCAGAGTGCTGGGAGCCCCTGGTGCCCTCATGAACATCACCCATACTCAGTTGAGGCCGTTGGGCTTCTATGGAGGGCGGCTTCTGCTTTAATCCACCTCAGACCAGACCAAACCCACTGCCGACTCACCCAAGCCTGTCGTAGAATTTCGGAGACTGTCTGTCTTTATGGCAGCAGACAGCTCATGGCGTGGCTGAGGGGTTTGAACCACCGATCTTCTGATTAGCAGTCTAATGAGATCACCTGGCAGCGCCCCCAGGGCCTCCTTTCACTCCAGGTACATGAAAATGAGAGCTTCTCTCTCCAAGGGCAGCCTGAAAGCAGAGCGTAGCGACTGAGATGCTTTGTTCACACCCCACAAAATCCCATGGGAGAGGGGGAGGGGAGCAGCAGCGTGAGGAACTCTCAGCACAGAGGACAGATGCGCAGCTGAAGGGTGACGGGGTGCTCAGCCCCAAGCAGGGCCGGTGCGGGCCCCGTCACACTACAGAGGAGCATCTAAGAGGAGTCTGGTGCATGTGAAGGACACTTCTCGTGGTGGAGAGCTCTGGCCTGCCTCTGAACAGTGACGAGGGCGGGTGGGTAGGCTGAATGCACTGAAAGGTACCAGCCAGCTCATCCAGTTCCACAGCTGTGCCCTGCATTTGCCAGATCCTCACCCAGACCACTAAGTCAACCCTGGAAACAGAGGGCCCTGTACTTAGCCGATGGGCTGTACAGCCTGGACGAGAGCCACCCAGGTCTGGAAGCACCTGCTCAGCGTGAAGGGCTACAGATAGTGGTAGCCTGGGGCAGGTGGCATTCTGCCATCGCCAGCCCTGTGGGAGCCCACAAGGCTGGGGTCAGTGTCCGCTGCACGGCTCCATTCCCAGCCCCCATCTTAGTGCCTGGCAGAGGTCACTATGTCCCAGGTGCAAATGTGAGCGCTGCATGGGCTAGTGCAAGGATGCGAGAGCACAGGTACAGCAGAGAGCTTAGCTGTGCGAGGTCTCAGGAAGTGCACCGCCCACGTGCTCTTTCTTGAAAGGTAGAACTCTCAGAAGCAAACCAGCCAAGCAGAGCCCACCCCCACAAAGTCCTCATTGCCCCTGTGCCCTTCAGCTGGAAGCAGGTCTGTGCGGTGTTTGTTACCCCATGTGGCTGAACCACAGTTGTTTAAACTCCACACCACGCTCCCTGCCATCAAGTCAGGGCTGACTCAGAGCAACCCCCTGTGGGTTTCCAAGCCTGTAACTGTTGACAGGAGTAGAAAGCCCAGTCTTTCTCCGGAGGGGCTGCTGGTGGTTCCAAACTGGCAACCATGCGGATCGCAGCCCGACGCATAAGCGCTATCCCGCCAGGCTCCCCCAAAACTGTTTAGTCAACCGTTTTACTGGACTTTCCACCCACTTTCTTCTTCTGTTACAAATAACTTGGGCCTGACTTGTGCTTCAGAAAGAGAGCTCTGGGTTTGGGGTTCAGATGGGCCAGGTGGGGAAGAAGTCAGAGTGGCTCCAGTGGGGCAGGGCCCAGAGAGCCGTGACAGATGGGAAAGAGGACCTGGCACTGACCCAGGCATCGTCGGAAGAGCAGCCACATTTGGCACTCCTCCTCGCCTTCCTGTGGCTTCTGGCCCATCCTCACACCTGCCCAAGGTGGACACAGTGAACAGGAGACCAGGCCTGGTGTAGCCACACAATGGAGAGCCTGCTGCCCAGGATGAGTGGAGAGAGGCTCAGGGGAGTCCTCATGGGGCAGGCTGGGAGCCAAAGGGACCTGGGGACGTGGCTCTGCTTTCTGAAGTTCAGAGAGCTTAATACAGACTCCTCTGTATGCTAGCACCCAACAATAGAGTCTGTTTGTGGGAACTCAGGTGGTCTTGCTAAGACTCACAGTTGTGCTTATACCCGAACATCTCTTGCCTCCTTACAAAGCGAGTGAAACTTGGGAGTGACTTTTGTGCTTCCTTCCAGTCACATACACTGTAAGTCACCTCCCCTGGGGAAGTGCTCTTTGATTTTGCTTGGTCTTAAGCACTCTAAGAAGTGCCTTACACAGTGTTTTATTGAGCATGGGACTCCCTTCTTCTTCCAGATTCTCCCAGGGGTGAAGGTCATCATTGCACACACCGAAACCAAAGGGCCCCTTGGAGATTCACACCTGGGAGAGGTGAGCACTGCGGAGCTCTGGGGGAGGCTCGCGGAGGGCTGCCTGCACGCACCTGCACTCCGGTGTTGCTCGTCTGCACCCTCCTCCTCTCTGGCTAGACACAGGATTACTTAACCCTTTGGGAGTGGGCGATAAGCTGCTGACTGTTTCACCAGCATGTACATCCCTGTGCCCACCTCCACGAGGGGTTTCAGGGCCCTGGGCCCTTCCCGCAGGGATCCCACACAGCCCTACAGCCTGCACTGCTACTTCCAGCAGTGGGACCCCAGGGTCAGGCAACTGGAACTGCTCTGTAGCAGCGGCTGGACAGTGAAGCTCTCAGGCCACCAAGGGGCGATCCCTTCATAGGGAAGGCTGGGGACTCCAATGCTGGCGTGGGGGCCCTCACACCGCCGGCCGAGGGTTGTCAAGGCCACAGGTGCCACTCCTAGAGATGGTCTGGGTGGTGTGGGCAGCAAGGGAAGCCTGCCTCTCCTCCTCTGCCATGCCCTTCTCCTCCCTTGGGGCTGGGTGTTCTTGTGAGCTCCCAGGCTGCAGATGAGGGTGGCAGGTACTCTTCACCCTGGGACACCTGTTTCTAAAGGTTGCCCAGGAGGGTCCTGGGCTCTCACTGCTGCCGAGCTGTACCTGAGGACCAATCAGGTGCATGCTGAGCTCCTGCTGTCTCTGTGTGGCGGGGTCCTGTGGTCTACACACTCGCACCATGTGCTCTCCAGACGCAGGCTCACCTCACTGGGCCCTCCGCTACGATGTGCCTCCACGTGGCTTCACGCGGCCCGCTCATCAGTTGACCCCGTCAGTGTGGTTTGTCCCTGTTGTGGCCATCTAGGTAGTTCCCAACTTTCTCTCAGCCACCGTTTGATGTGAGGCATGTTGGGTCAATGTCTTGGCTCCGCACACAGCACAGAGACCTCCAGATGTCATCCCTGGGCCTCGGGGAGGAGCCCTTGCCTGAAGAGGAGGACAGTTCTGTATTTCCTGCACTTTCATTTAGCTCCCTAGCTAAGAGGTGCTGAGAACAGAGCCGCACTTCTGCTCACTGTGGAATAGAAAGCAACAGGAGGTTGTTTTTGTTTTCCTTTTTCTTTTTCCCCATCACTTTATTGAGAGCTCTGACAGTTGTCGTAATTCAAATAAAGCAAGCATAATTGTACAATTGCTACTACAATCAGTTTCAAAACATTTCTTTCTTCTTGAACTCTTTTGATGTCAGCTCCCCTTTATCCCTACCCCCCCACCCCCCTCCAGGAACCCTTGTTGTTATTATTATATATTATTATTATTATTCGATCATGTATATATATTTAGCTGTACCTTACCCCATCCAATATATCCATTCAGCTACAATTCTGTTATTTGCTCCCCTCATGTGTGGTTATACAGTCCTCATTGCTATCAGCTTCCCCTTCCCACCCTTCCCACCACCGCCTGTCTTCCCGTATCCTCAATGAATCATTACTCCCATTGCTGTTTCTGAAGGGTCATCCACCCTGGCATTCTTGCATCGAACGATCTTAATTATACACGTGAACATAGCAGGTCTAACAGTATTAATGAGGTGAAACATAAGTCTTAACAGTAAGGGGAGGAACTATTAAAGAACCAGAGGATAGTTCTGTGTTTCATCAGTGCTCTATCACCCCCTGAATTTCTCATACCCCCCTCTGCGCGGACCCTCTGTGAGGGCCTGTCCAATTGTTTTGCAGGTGGGTTTTGGGTCTCTACTTTGTCCACGCGCCTTCACGTCAATTTGCTTGCTTGCTTTGGAACTCCTGATACTTACTCTCTTTGCCGCCTCATGATCACACAGGCTGGTGTGCTTCTTTCATGTGGGCTTTGTTGCTTCCCTGCCCAATGGCCGCTGCTAGTTCACTGGAGGTTTTGCGAGCCTTGTCCATCAGCTGGGCCTGGTCCCTATCGTAAAGCTGCACACGTGTGACACAGCACCATCCCCTTGGCTGCAGATCTGGGTGAGCAGTCCCCACAACGCCACCGGGTACTACACCGTGTACGGGGAGGAGGCACTGCACGCTGACCACTTCAATGCCCGGCTGAGCTTTGGAGACACACAGACCATCTGGGCCAGGACTGGATACCTCGGCTTTCTCCGGAGGACGGAGCTCACAGATGCCAGCGGAGGTGAGGGTGACCGGGGCTGCCACAGTGCTCGAGGCGCTCAGTGGGGGGCGTTCTGCCCGCAGCCCTACCACAGGCTCACTGTGGCCGGTGTTCTCTATTGTGGAGCCTCCGTGCTGTGATGTGCTCCCTCGGTGGTTGCTTCTCTCTGCCTTTTGACCTCTGGGCTAAGCTGTCAGGTTCTCCAGCACCCCAGCACTTCCTATCGGGCTGTTTCACCCACCTGATGCCAAACAGGACCCCTGTGCTCTCACCAGCATGACCCCTCTCTCCAAGACTGGTTCTGAGTTGTAGTCAGTGCCCATAGGACCCTGTGTGGCCCCAGCAGCTAACTTAATGCAGTCAGGACCTATAAATTCAGACAGTGGCGAAAAGCCATTTTAAACGCACAGCCACGTGTGGCCATATCACCTCCGATGTGGTCACTGGCTGCAGAGATGACAGACCAACGTATTAGTGACCACAGGGTCCAGAAGAGCAGCAGCCTCGCCGCCCTCAGGGGGAAGCTACCAGTTCCAGAGAGTCTGTGTTGGGGCTGGCACAGGCCTCTCAGGAAGAAGTCAGAGCAGCTTGGCTGGTGCACCCTAACCTGCTGCGTGTTCAACTGTGTGCCCTTGCAGAGCGGCATGATGCCCTGTACGTCGTCGGGTCCCTGGACGAAACGCTTGAGCTGAGAGGCATGCGGTACCACCCCATCGACATTGAGACCTCGGTGATCCGGGCGCACAGGAGCATTGCCGAGTGGTGAGGGCCTGGGGCTCCGGGGGTGGTGCCGGGCAGGGCGCTCTGGGCGTGGGCCTCTGTGCTCAGGGACACGTTGGACCCTGCAGGGCCAGGTGATTCAGGGCTACATGACGAGCCTGGCTCACTCTCGAGACACACTGCTTGTCCTTGGGTGGGTTCCTTTGATTTTCATCTCTTTTCCCAAACAGTTTTAAACCCAGGGGCTCTCCCCAAATGCACACAATTATAAGGCACCCCCAGTTCCAATCCTGAAATGTTTCTGCTTTCAATGCGGATTTCTTCATTTCAAGGACATGCCTCGTGATTCCTTTGCTTTGCAGAGGGCTCATGTGGGGCAGGCTCAGCTTCCACATCAAGCCGTGTTCTTGATTCTTAGCAAGAACTTCCACCAACCCACCGATGCTCCGGTGAAGCACCCTTCACGTTACCTGTCAGCACTAAGTGCTGTTAGGCAGCAGTGCCCCGTTAGCCACAGGCAGCCATGTGCTCTTTGCGCCTCTGTTGTTGGCTGCTTGTCTCTGGATGCCACCCCGCCCGACGGCCTCTGTCTTCTCCCCTGCAGTGCCGTCTTCACGTGGACCAACCTGCTGGTGGTGGTGGTGGAGCTCGAGGGCCTGGAGCAGGATGCACTGGACCTGGTGGCCCTGGTGACCAATGTGGTGCTGGAGGAGCACTACCTGGTCGTTGGCGTGGTGGTCATCGTGGACCCGGGAGTGATCCCCATCAACTCCCGGGGGGAGAAGCAGCGAATGCACCTGAGGGACGGCTTCCTGGCCGACCAGCTGGACCCCATCTATGTCGCCTACAACATGTGAACCCGCACACACTGAGAATAGAGGACTAAGAGGAGAGGCTTACACCGCCGGAATGCCGCCTTGGGGGCCTTGAGACCCGTCGGAAGTGATGTAGCACGTGGACATGCTGACATGTCTCCAGCCACGAGTCTTCGGGGGGACTCCCATCACTCCTCAGTGCTGTGACGCACCTGTGTGCGCAGGGCCCTAAGTCTCAGCTTGGCAGGCGTTCCCTGGATTTAGTTAAAGACATGTTTCGACTTTGCCAAGGACACTTACGAGTGGATGTCTGTTTCCACAGGTGGGTGGCTGGCAAAGGAAGGGCCCAGCACGGGCACTGCGAGCAGCTGCAGGCGGGCGTGCGGCCGTTCTCTGCTGGATGACGATTTTGCACTTTCTCTCCCTAAAAAATTGAACTCCTGATTTTGAAAATTCAATGCTCTGTTCCCACACCAAATGAGAAATTCAGTGATAGAACTTATGCGGGGAAACTAAGGAACAAACTTTGCACAGGCCCTCCTCGTAGCTGCCTCACTGCTGTTTCATGGGAAGGCAGGTGAGCCCAGAAAGGCTGATGGGGAGGCGAGTGATCCCTGGCTTTGTGGCACAGGCCACGGCTGCTCTGTGTCCTTCCTTTGCCGGTTTCTCTACTGAGACAGGTGTACCTGTCTGTCTGCGTATAGTCACTCATACGCGGCAGGTGCTAGGCTGGACTGTCGAGTTAGATGGATGTGCTGGTTCAGAACAAGAAGCCAGCATCAAGTTTTAAACCACTCCCACATTTCTAACTTCATGCAGTTTAGTCCAGTTACTTGTTTTCATAGCATTACAGTAGTAACCTTCTTGTTACACCAGAGGTGTACATGCCTCGGTTTTTTTCTGAGTCTGTGGGTTCTAAACACTAGTGGAAAAACCCAAGGTTCCCCGTTCTGAGCAGTTCTGCGTTGGGAACATGCTGAAGTAACCGGCAAGGAGGAGTGGGGAGAGCTTGGTCTAACATCGAAGGTGGTCTTGCTCCCACCCTTATCGGCTGCCTTCACATGTTGAGTTGAATGCGTATAAAATTTGGCCGAACCATACCCAGGTATTTTATTTCGACTTGACTGACCCAAGTGATCTAATATTATAGCGAACCTAAATCAAAGAAGAGAATGTAAAAACCTTTAGCTACTTTTAAGAATTCGAAGTCAAGCACGAGTCTACGACATAGATTATTTTTATATAGCGAGGAAAGAGTACATTATGAAATTGTTGGGTTTTATGGGGACTACGGGTGGGAAAACTTAGAATCGTGCATGTCTCACAGAAACAACCGGGCTCTTCCAGAATTAGTCTGGAATTAGCTTGGATCAGTGCCTAACACAGCTGCGATGAATCCTGCCCCGTTGTAAAGTCTCTGCCAAAGGAGTCCTACTGAGTGGGCAAACTCTCACTCACATCGTCCTCGGGCTTGGCTACAGATAGCATCGCACATCGTAGCTCGTTTTCGCCTATGGTGTTAGAAGCAGTGTAGGATGTTGCCACATACTGGAATTCTAATAATTCTACTGTAATTATGTACAGAATCTGTGTAACTTATTGTTTGACATACAGACATTTTAGCCGTGGATTAATAATGGACATTCCTTGTGATAGAATGACCGGAAAGGTGCGAGAACTACCTAACCGCCGTGTTAATGTTGTAGTTTCATAGCAATTAAAGTACTGTAAGGCTTTTGTATTGAGAGATCAGTGGCAGTAAGACAAGGTGTTCTTGTAAATTAGGATTTTAATAAGTACGTTAAAATGTGTAAAATTTACTCTGGGAATTCTGTATATCACACTAAAATTTTTTATATCATTATGTTAATAAAAAAATGTTATTGACTGTTTATAATTCTATATTTTGAAATGTGTGAAAAGGTTTTTTAAAATGCCCCCCAATAGGATGTATATTTTTTTCTGAATATAAAAATAATTATGCTTATCGCATTAAATCTAGAAAGCACATTATTAAAGTATAAAGAAGAAAACTAAAAAAATTCTATAATCCTACCTCTGGGCTATAGCGGCATTAGTATTCAATGTAAATCCCTGAATTATGTTGAATACTATGAAAATTTTATTATTAGAATCATATACTTATTTTATAATGTTTTGTACTTAATAAATTACAAACTTTTCAATCTGTTACATATATTCTTCTACATATCATTTTAATGACGGTGTAGTTTTCCATCTTATAGGTGTACCATGACTAAATGTGGCTTGCGCATAGCAGTGTGGTGGTGGACCCCCTCAGAGATAGGCTCACACTTCCACGATTACCGCCTTGGGCCTAATTCTCACAGGTAAACTGAGTGGATCAATGTTTGTGTCATGTTTGAAGTTTGGGAGAGCCCTGCTCTCCAGAAGGGTAAGCTAGTCGTGCCAGAGAGGCCTCTCTCCCAGCCGCCCCAACAAAGATGAAATGAACTTTCCCCAGGACTAAAGTAATATACCTTTGCCACTTGATAGGCAAGTAAGTGCTTAATTTCTAATGGTGTTGAAAGTGTCTTCATGCTGTGCTCTATTTAGAACGGGCGGTGTTTTGAATGCTGGATTTTTCAGTTTTGGGCTAGTAGGGACCGTTTTATGTTCAGAGTAATAGCCTTCAAATAGCCTGCACTTGATCCTGGGGGTCATCTGCATGTTGAGTCTATTGGTTCTAACACAGGTTGTTTCCGTTTAGTGTTTAACTGTTTTATGCAAACTATGGTTACATGTACTAAATTTCAGATTATGAAGATATCTGACCTGTGTCAAATTGGTTGTACTGAAATGGTCAGCATGAACCTACATGGCAGGGAAGTAACTTACACCCAGTGTTTGCTCAGTTCCTGCCACAGACTGTCAACAAACTAGGTGGCACCTACCATCAGGCTTTCCAGATCCTTCGAAAGAGCAAGAAGGCCTGCCGGGTGAGTGTCTCCATGGTAGTAAATCTCGTCAGGGAATTGTTTGCATGTCACTTGCTGTGTGTGCAAAGAAGGGGAAGGTAGGTGCGCTCTCTGACATGATTTTACATAAGTGCATTTTACCAAGAGATGAATTCTTTGTAAAACTAGCTACGTGCAAAAATGTGAAACCAATTGTTTCTACATTTTTTGCTTTGGAGTAAATTGTGTTTAAATGGAATGGTCTTTAAAGACTCCAAGCAAGTGGCCGGGCTAGCCAACTCTTCCTCCCGTTGGGTCCTCTGAAAACCCAGCCCCGTTTGTTAGCCTCGTCTCTCAGGGTTTAACTGGGAACTTTTTCATGTGTCCCTGTGTGAGATGCTTCAAGAAGGGTCAACAGGGATTGCCAAGGGTGGTGGAAAGTGAGAAACTGAGAATGTGGGGTTTTATCCCAAGACTCTATGGCAGCGGTTCTCAACCTGTGAGTCACGACCCCTTTGGGGGTCGAAGGACCCTTTCACAGGGGTCGCCCGATTCTTAACAGTAGCAAAATGACAGTGATAAGTTGCAACGAGAATAATTTTATGGTTGGGGGCCACCACCACATGAGGAACTGCATGAAAGGGTCGCGGCATTAGGAAGGTTGAGAACCACTGCTCTAGGGGATTGAAAGGCCCAATGCTGTGAGTGTGCATTCCACGTGCAGCTTAAAGTTGAAAAGAGCTTGAGGGACGTGATGCGCTGTGCCCATCCCACTCCCTGCAAGAGTGAGCTGAATGTTCAGGTGTTGCAGGGTGTACCCACACCCTGCGCTTGTAGAGAGGGGATCACAAGCTCAAAGACAAGCGATGTTTAGCATTTAGTTCACATTAAACAGTAGGGATGAATGATGGACTTCCAGCATGAGATGCTCCATAGATCTCCACCCCAGCTAAAATTATTTTTTTAACTACCCATTTAATGCCTCCAGAAATGGCCCTAAGGCCTTACAGGAAATGAATAAACAAATGATCAAGAAAATCTGCAAACATTCAGTATGGAAAACAAGAACCTGTGGTCTTTGAATCAAGGCCATGCTTTCTGTCCTCCCAACTCAAGGAAGCTCCTTTCCAAATTGATACAACCAAGAGCACAAGGTCCCTCTCCCTCGGCTCCTGGTCAGAGCCTTCTCCTGGGAGGAGCAAGGGTCCGCGTTTCTCATCCTGCATCGAGGTATCCCCGTTGCTGAGATTAAGTTCCAGGTGAGCATAGTCAGGGGTAGGGGCTTTACCTTAGGCACTGAGCTGAAGAGCTTGCTGAGACCTGGTTTGCTCTTGCCCCAACTCGCGAGGTGGTAAAGGTCCACTCCAGGAGAGGCAAGCTGAGAAAATGTTTGGCGGCTCTTCCCCCTTCCACTGAGCGTCCCGCTCCCCAAACGGGGTGTCACTCCAGAGGTCTGGCTCAGAAATCTGAGCTGGAGGGAGAAGCGATCTGTAAGATGTTCCTAATCTGCTCTTAAGGAGCCCTGGTGAAAGGAGGGGTCATGTCTTGGCCTGCGAACTTCAAGGTTAACAGTTTGAAACCAGCAGCTGTTCTGCAAGAGAAAGATTACAGCGTTCTTCAGTAAACATTTCCAGTCTCAGAAGCCCACAGGGGGACTTTTGCTCTCTCCTATTGGGTCACCACGCGTCAGAATGGGCTCAGTGGCAGCAAGTTTGTTTTGTTTTTCAGTCTGTTCTCATGAGAAGCTGTTCTGGCACTGTGGCTTAGGTGTTGGACTGCTATTCCTAAGGTCAGCAGTTCAAACCCACCTATTGCTGCTCAAGAGAAAAATGAGTCTATCTGCTCTTACAAGGATTTACAGTCACAGAACGTTTATATAGGCTTGCTGTGTGTCGGAATTGATTCAAAGGAACTAACTTCATTTGCAGCAGATCTTGGAGAAGTTCAAGCGTATGGACACTCTCAAGAACACTGAAAGTTGTGAAAGGCAGTTGGGAAGAGAATGGTAGAGTCAATGAAGATATACTGTGGGCCAGCTAGTTTGCTGGTTTGAATCAGGAAAAGACAGCTGGGAAGAGCCCTTCTGGGGTCAGAATAAACCTCAAATGTTAACCTCGGGAATTGTTCCCTCAGAAGAGTCTAAATTGGGTTGACCCACAAGGTCAGCAGTTCGAACCACCAGCTGCTCCTCTGGAGAACGATGTGAAGATTTTCCTGTGAAGATTTTCCGTCTCAGAAACCCCAAGGGGCAGTTGCGCCCTGTCCTATAGGATCACCATGGGTCACAATGGGCTGAATGGGAGTGAGTGTATAATAGAGCAATTTATGCCCTCAGGGCCGGGGTTCTCGACCTTCCTCATGCCGTGACCCGTTCATACAGTTCCTCATGTGGTGACCCCCGCCACCATAACATTATTTTCATTGCTACTTCATCACTGTCATATTGCTACTGTTATGAATCGGGCGACCCTGTGAGAGGGTCCTTTGACCCCCAAAGGGGTCATGACCCACGGGTTAAGAACCACTGCCTTAGGGCATCGTTGAAAGCCATAATCAGTTGGCAATTAGCAGATGCTTTTGAACTATGCTGGCAAAGAATATGGAAAGTACCATGGACTGCCCCAAGAACAAGCAACTCTGTCGTGGAAGATGTACAGGGTGCTCCTTGGAGGCCAGGATGACAAGACTTTGTTTCATGTACTTGGACATGTTGTCAGCAGAGACCAGTCAGTCTGTAGAGAAGGACTTTATGTTTCGTAAAGTATAGGGGCATGGAAAAGAGGAGGCCCCGACAGGGTGGACGGACACAGGGGCTGTAGCAGTGGGCTTAGGCACAGGAACAGTGGTGAGGATGGTGCCGGACGGGGCAGTGTTTGTTCCGTTGTGCATAGGATCAACATAGGCTGGAGCAGAATCCGTTGGGTGTGTTCAGGGAACCAGAAGATAAGAGCCTTTCTCAAACCAGCCATGCCCAACGGGCACCTCTCCTAGGGGCAACATTAGAGGTTTAACATGACAGAGTGGGAGAGGGAATAGAACTCACTAAAAGATCCAGTTGTTACTAAACAAATAATTCACAGTAACAAGCCACCTGGGAAGGGTGGGGGGACAAGTACTCAGAGCTATTACAGTATATTATCTTAAATGTTTCTTACCAAAAATTATGAGACATGCACATTTTGGCTTCCTTAAACCAAACAGTATGAGATACATTGGGGAAGCAGGCAAGGGTAATTGTAACAGACTTAACAGACATTAAAGTGGTTATTCTAATATCTTCAAATAGCTAAAGGAAACCATGATAAAAGAAAGGTCTGATGACAATGTCACAAATAGAGAATATCAGATAGGAATTGTTAAAGAAAATTAAAATGGAGTCCTGTGGTTCACAGAAAGGCAAGGGGTGTCAAGTGAATAACACCCCTAAGACTTGTCTGTCCCCAAACTTAATCCTCGCTTTCCTGTACACCAGACCACCAGCCTCCACCAATAAGATTTAGATAGCACTCTCACCCTGATGGGCTACATAATACAGCATTTTAATAGTACATTATATAAGTCGATCAGAAATAAACTGCTTTTGCCTCTGCAGTTTGTTCATATAAGCCAACCATCACTGATATTGAGGGGCATGATTAGTACCTTTCCACATGTGGCTGAATGTTGCCTGGTTTTACGATTCTTCTTTGCCCCTTCAAAACCTCATCTAATAGATTAATTGTATGATTGGCACAATGGCATTACAGAAAGAACCAGATGAGAACTTTCAGTTTCTGGCCAGAGAGGTAGCGTTTGGAATCACTCTTGTTCTCCTAACAAGACAAAAGCCAAACGAACTGAAGATGTACCAGAGAACCGAGTCACAGGGAAGCTGCCGCAGAAATCTGGAGAGACAGGCAAATATAGAAGTTCAGTACCTAGAGAGAGCAGCTGGAGCCAGTTTAGGTAGGAGAGCAGACACGGAAACGATAGTTCATGGGCTGTCAGGAGCTCAGTGTGGACTTGCCCGAGGTGGAAAACTCTGGAGGACCTGACAACAGGTTCCAGCGGAAGCTTGTTCAGCGGTGTTTGTGGCCGCACTCTTCACAATAGTCAAAAAGTAGGAACTACCTGCACACTGATCAAGAGATGAGTGAATAAATAAAATGTCGGACATACAGGTAATGGGATGCTACCCAGCCAGGAGAGGGAATAGTCCTGAAGGCCCGGATGGGGGATATGATGACAAACAGTAGCTTCACATTTTGATATTTTTGTTTAATAAAGGTTGCTATGATTT